GGATGGCTGCTGTGTGAGGATCAGGCCTGCATGAACAGAACCAGACGTCTGCCCATCGCCTTCTCCAGACACGGACCCATCTGCCCCGCCTGCACCAGGGCCACGCTCAGACCAGAGGTAACACACACACACACACACACACACACACACACACACACACACACACACACACACACACTGTCTCTGAGGCTGAGATGACGGCACAGATTCGGCACATTGTTGATTTCTGAGTGTTTTGTCCAGGTGATGGTGCTATGGAGCTGAAGTCTCTCTCACATATGTTCTGTACATTACTCATTAGTATCACATTACACCATACATGTATACAGTGATAATCATCCTGCGAGCGAGTGTGTGTGAAACTGTGTGTGTGTGTGACAGGTCGTCTTATGAACACTTTGTTAGCCTGACCACTGGATTTAAAACAAACACTCTCCCTTTCAATTTGACTGTTCAATCATTTCTCTGTCCATGTCTCACCCCTTGCCTTAACTCTCGTCATTTTTCTTTATCTTCCTCCCCCCCTCTCGGCTGCTTTGCTGTGTCTGGCTCTGTGGCGACAGGTTGTAAACCAGAAGGCCAATTTCTGCTGTCACTGAAGCCACTTAGGCGGCCATTGCTGTGCCTGAGGGCCGTGGCACTTTAAACTGCGGCTGAATGAAACATTTAACTCTCTGTGCTCGCTCAGGCACCCTTCCTCCACCCGAAAAATCACGTTATCTGCTCCTCTCTGCACTCCTACACGTGGAGCTGCAAAGACGTATCCATCAGTTGTCAACTATCTAATTAATTGCCATTAATACATTCATAATTGTTGGGATTTTTGTAAAGAAAAACATGCATATATTGTGATTTCAGCTTCTTAAATGTGAATATTATAAGATTTCTTTACTTCTCTATGAGAGTAAACTGAACATGACTGAGTTGTGGACAATACAAGACATTTAAGGGCTTTTGGAAACACTTATCTGATATTTTATACATCAAAAGACTAATTGATTAATCAAGATAACACATATAAACAAGTAAATACCATAGAAGTAATCCTTAGTTGCAGCCAAATATTCCTTTGTATGCAACATCAAACAACAAAAGATAGACCTTTAATGATTACACCAGCATTTCAAACTAAAAGAGGCATTGATAAGTAAAATAACAGCCTTCATTTACAATAAACTTAAATGTCAAATAAGTAAGCAATATTTAATAAAGGAAAGTCAAAAGTGGACGTAGTCAGTGTGACGTTACCAATTGAGGTTTCTTAATTGTGTTGATGTCCTGTCTTAATATTAACACAAGTAAAAGATAATTAGTGCATCTATCCCGAAATGTAACGGCTTCTTCCTTAGTCCAACGTGCACCCTTACTTAAAGTTGAATGAAAATTGGGCGAGTAGTTTTCCTATAATCCTGCAAACAAACAAACTGGGGTTACGTGGATCCTCTATCCTGAGTTCTGGATTAAGTCGTGGACTTCGGGTCGTGGCTGAACCCTGTCTCTGCGGTCCTGCCTTGGGTCTCGTCATGCTGCTTCCCTGATGGCTTCCCTCAGGATTGTAGCTGACATCCTCGTGGATTCATCTTCTTATTACAGACACATGCATTTCCTAACATTCGGTCTATATGCTGTCAAATGTATTATCTCTTGGATTTACACACGGCATCTATTGCACGTCTGTCCGTCCTGGGAGAGGGATCCCTCCTCTGTTGCTCTCCCTGAGGTTTCTCCCATGTTCCCTTTAAACTGTGGGTTTTCTCTGGAAGTGTTTCCTTGTACGATGTGAGGGTCTAAGAACAGAGGGTCTAAGGACAGAGGGTCTAAGGACAGAGGGTCTAAGGACAGAGGGTCTAAGGATAGAGGGTGTCGTTTTTCTCATACTGATATTCTGAACAATCTGTGCTGTTGTATTTGCTGTAAAGTGTCTCTACTGTAGGCTATTTTTATTATATGTACAGCACTTTGGCTCGACCAAAAATCGTTTATAGATGTGCTATATAAATAAAACTTGATTTACGTGCTGTAACGCAGCTTCTATGAGTGTAGGCGCAGCCCTCTAAGGCTATACGATATAGAACAAACACACATGCATACGGACACCAGTAACAGTTACATCCCTCATACATGTTGCAGATCCTCTCCTGACTTCCTCTGAGGAGAGATATTTCCCTCTGAAGGAATTGATATAGCATGATTCACATGAGACTAACAGTGACTTCTCACTATTAGGTAACACTGTTATCTGAATCAAGCCAGTGCATGGAGATTAATAGCCCAGCAGCTTACATTTTAAATTGCTGCCAATTATGCAAAGTACTCAAGAGGCCATTCATAGCGGTTTGAGCTGCTGGTAGATAGTCTGAGCTGGAACAACGAGGCGAGACGAAGCATCCGCCGTCCTCACGGAGCCCCTTTTCTGTCGATTATGAAGATGATATCACTCGCATTCTTCTTTGTGCCGCAGTAAAAACACTTGGAAAACGAGCGTCTTGTTTGTGACTGCATCCCCCTTTTTTCTCCTCTGTTGCATCATGGTACATTTAGCATTGCTGTGGACGCTGCCTCTCCTCTTTCCTCCCTCCATCTCTCCCTCTCGTTCCTCCCTTCTCCCCCCCCCCCCCCCCCTTGGACACAGATTCAGAGCGTGATCTGATCTCCATGTAATGGGAGAGTAATAGGCACTCTGCCTTGATTGGTTGGTAATTTGGGGGAGTTATGCACAGGTGCAATTTGTAATATTTTCAGTAAATTAAATGTCTTTCTGTTCCATCTCTCCCTCTGTCTCCCCCTCCTCCCCCTCCTCCCTCCACAGCGCTTAACTCAAATGGGCTATTTTTTTCTCACAGTGTCTCAGATCTCTGTCCTGACTTTCCTTTTCTTTCTCGCTTTTATTCACGGTTCCTTTTCTTTTCATTCTCTCTCCCTCCCCTCCCTCCTTAGCTCTTATACTCATTCTCCTGGCTTGCTCTTTCTCTCCTCCTCTCACCCTCCCTTTCTGTCACTCTCTTTTTCTCCCCTCGTTTTATTGATGTACGCTCAGGCGCCCATTAGAGCTCCCTTTTTCCCTCTAGTGGAAATTGCAGCATGTTAATTTTCACACAAATTACGGCAATAGCAGGTATCTCTATTTGATACATTATAGCGGGAGCAATCAGAGATAATTGAGTGCCTTTCAGAGGGAGACGGCTGCATTCACTGCCGGCTCAAAGCTGCCCCATTATCGCCTAATCGCTCTTTAAACACTGAATTTCGCCGAACAAAAATTCTTGTCATAATTTTGCTTAAGTGTATTTGGAAATCACAGTCCTTTGAGCGAGGATAATTGAAATCAAATCCCTTTCACTGGAGATGACATTTCTACATTTCCCTCCAATTGAAATTAATTTCAAAAATTGAGCATGAATATCTTCAAATAGCAGGCAATTATGCCTTTCAATGGGGAGAAATTACCGGTGCTGAATCGTTGGAGGCTTGCGGGCGAGAGCACCAGTTAAATGCCTTTGTTTCCCGCCGTGTTTGCCTAGTAAAGATTTACATATATTGACTCATTATGGTGTCTTGTGAAGCTGATCGGCGTGACTACCACAACCGGCAATAACGCTCATCGCATCTAAAAAGCTCAAGAGTTTTAAAGCCTCGTGGCCTCACAGCTGAGGGGAAATGTATGTTTGTTTCTCTCCGTCTGCCTCCCTCTCTGCAGCTGCAGTTGTGTGTGTGGGCTCGGATATCGTAGCTCTCGTCATTTGCCGATTAGCCGCAGAAGAGAGTGTGATGCCGAGGCCTTGTTTGTGCCTCTGTTGCTGCCATATTATCTTCTAATGGTCTTTTCCATCCACTATAACCTTTGTGTGTTTTTGTATTTCCACACACACACTGAGACGTAGGGTCTGCATTTACTGCCTCACCAGCGTACTTAAACGACGGTATAGTGCCAAAGTTCTGCGGAGGTCGGATGTGTGTGTCCCCTAAAAGACGGAGACAGGTGTTTTTAAGACTCCGAGGAAGTCTTGAGTGCTCGCTTTATTGTGCGAGCCATTTCAAACTGTTGCTCTGTGATTTGGATCAATTTGTGCGATTTAGCCTCCTTTTCTTATTTCTTACTTGTATTCTATACATCCCGTCTCCATTCTTCCCTCACACACATTCCCCTCTTTCTTAACTGTGTGTGTATGTGTGTGTTAGAGGGGGAGTCAGTCAGGGAAGAGGGAGGCAAAGGAGCAAGGGGTACGATGTGGGGGGGGGGGGTCCGACGCTCCCGAAGAGAGGCAATTTCACAGCTGGTTTGCTCCTTAGGCAGTCAGGCTGAAAATGCTGCAGATTTGTGGAGCAAATTGAAATGGTGTCAGTGCAGGAACAAAGCAGCGAGCTGAATGACGAGGTAGTTGTGTGTGTGTGTGTGTGTGTGTGTGAGGTGGGGTGGAGGGGCTCTAAATTCAATAACAACCCTGTAACATTTTAGACACGCCTTTCTGACACCTGTCAATCAATCAGTGTGCAGCGACAGGCCCGCCCACAATCAGCATTACATTGTTTGAATGTGTGTGTGTGTGTGCGTGTGTGTTTTGTGTGCAGAGGAAGAAGTGGTGTGCAGCGTTTGTGCCAATCGAGCTTGTTCAACCTTGGCAACCGTAACCGAGGCTCCATTATGGGATGTGCATGCTTTGGTTGTTGACTAGGCCGTGCATCAACGGTCAACAGCTGTGTGTGCCAATTGGGCAGCCCTAGAGAGCCATTAAACACATTTACACAGACACACACACAGACACACACACAAACACACACATCACATAGTTTGCATTTAGTTGCATTACATACTCTTGCCACTTGATTACACCACAGCAGTAAAAACTGAAATTACAATTACGCACATTGCCGATTGGCAGGTATAATGGGTGCACACAAATTCACTACCCACACACACACACACACACACACACACACACACACACACACACACACACACACACACACACACACACACAGGAATTGTCAGGGGATTCTTCCTGGCGGTAATAATAAAGCACTCGGCGCACACCTGATGGCAGTGTGGGGTCGGGGCTTAGCGTGCCCTCTCCAGCGTTGCGGGGAAATGACGAGCCAATAACTGCAATTAAACATGCAGTATAATGGCTAATCAAATTGACAGCCTCGGCTGTTCGCATGCCTCTCTCACAATGGCTTATCACAACAAACTATTATGAGGGAGGGTATTTCAGGCCTGATCCCCTCTTTTCTTTCTCTCTCTCTGTCTCTCCATCTTCTTTCTGTATCTTTACCCTTTCCTCCTCTCTTTCCCTCCCCCTCCTCTCTCTCTCTCCCCCGCGCTGGCAGGCTGTCGTGTGGCTCCGGTTAATTGCAGTGGAGATTAACAAAGCAAGCAAATTTGTTTTCTTGCTTTGCCGTGTCACACAGAGGAAGGGAGATGTGTTCAGGCAGGAATAGTCGAGAGCACATTTCTGCAGTGACGTTCCCTCTCTACCGGCTTGTCAAAGTGGAAAACAGAGTTCATTAATCTGCCGCCCTGTCGCGGGCTCCGTGCTCTAAAATAACAGGGATTAATAACATACTTATGTACACGCAGGAAGTTAAATGGATTAGTAGCATTGTTGTTGTTGCACTAACTGTAACCAACAAGTGTGTGTGTGTGTGTGTGTGTGTGTGTGTGTGTGTGTGTGTGTGTGTGTGTGTGTGTGTGTGTGTGTGTGTGTGTGTGTGTGTGTGTGTGTGTGTGTGTGTGTGTGTGTGTGTGTGTGTGTGTGTGTGTGTGTGTGTGTGTGTGTGTGAGACCAGGTCAAAGAGAGAAGTGTTGCATTCACTGTAGCAATTCAAGATTATGGCCACTATGTAATACTCTAATAATATTTTGCATTATTTAACAACCTCCTTTTGTTGGTCTTATAATCAGGCATTTAAATGGAATCTGACCTCTTGGCATATTTGAAGTTGTTAACAAGTGAAAACACTCGGAGTCCGTTATGATACTCATTAAGCTACGTGTTGATGAAATATGGAGCTGACACAGACATGAAGTCTCACTCTGTTGGTGTAAAAATACAACACGGTGAATTCACACTCGGTACACAAAACCAGACAGCAGCCAAGTTTAATTTCGGCCTGCCTTCATGTAACTCGTGGAATTAACGTTAAGTAGCGAGAGCCGATTTGACCTGCTGCCAGCGATTGTCCTTTTAACTGCTGTGGAAACTGCAGTTAAGTCGCATAAAGAGGACAACCAGCTAAATGAACACTGTAACTGATGTGTGTCTGTCTCTCTTAACTTCATGACTATGGGGTACAAACTCATACAAGCCCCCTTAACTATTCCTTCAATTGGATTGTTTGTCGGCCATATTCACATCAAATGCAGTCTCTCTGTTATTGCACATTCAATTCAGTGTAATATAATATTTATCCGATTGTGTCGCAGTGTTTTGATCCTGGTTTTGTGTTTTCTCCACAGTACTCGGAGAAGGCGCTGTACAACCAGCTGTGCTTCTACAGGTTCATCTTCGACTGGGATCATGCAGTGGCTAAAGTGCTGCAGGGCGAGAAAGAGAGAAGTAAGACACACACACACACACACACACACACACACACACACACACACACACACACACACTCATGTTGCTAGCTACTGTACTAACCTAACCTTCAGAAGCATTTCTCTGTGTGGTTAAAGTTTTGTGCGGCTGTTAAAACAAGCCTGCTTTAAAAAAACAATCATTTTATTCATTTTTTTTTTTTGTATTCTGTTGCTCCGCCTCTAGAACAGAAATCAAGTTACTACAGCAGCTATTGAAGTTTGAATTTTGATGCCTTAACAATGCTTCCTCATAAACACACACACACAACATACCATTAGCAATCAATGGCTCAACGTAAACCTTTTACCCAGGCTACACTTAAAGTATTCACCAATGATGTGACACACACACACACACACACTGAGACACACAGAAGTAGCGGCGCATTGGATACGGGGGAGCGGGTTAAGGACATTCAGCTCCTCGAGTCGACAGCCCTAATTTAAGAGACGGATTCAATCACACACACATACCGAATGCAAAACGCTCCAATCACTGGGAGAAAGAAGGAGAGAGCCCTCCATCGCTCTCCCTCTCTCCTCACCCTCTCTGTCCATCTTCAGCGCGTTCTCCCCTTCTCTGCCTCTCTTGGACAGGCACTCGTTTGGCTGTGTTGATTGAAAACAGGTTTTAGATTTGGGGAAATGATAGGGGGAGTAATGGGCGCGCTGACGAAAGGATAGCCCTTCTCCCATAATGGGACATGGAGCGTATATTTCCCCCCTTGGACTCAAATAGACGCTCCTCCAGCGCTCAGAAGGCGTCTGCCGCGAAGCCTCTTTACCCGATTCTCCCCCTGATTGATGTCACTTGATTAGAAAGGGCCGCCGGGCCGAGTGATTTATTTATTTGATTAAATATTTATATATGTATGTTATTTATGTATGTATGCCTGAATTTGTCCGAGTGTGTGTGGCAGCGAAAGGGTGAGACAGCAGAGGTAAATATAACGTGTAATCAACAGATGACCACTCAGAAGATGGAGGGATTGGAGGAGGGGGGGGGGGGGGTACTAACATGATTATAGCCTCCATTTTTGCTTTCTTTTATTTCTGTCTTTGCCCAGATGCAAGAAATCATAGCCAATCAATTCTTAAACCTCCTCCTTTCTTTACGTTCTTGTTGTTGGCTGTGTTTTTGTTCTGCGCCCGCAGTTTCACTCTCATCTCGTTGCCTCGCCATCGGAGCTGAAATGGTTAATGGAAAAGGCGACGGAAAGATAATTGCTTACTTTTTTTGGGATTATTGATGATTTGTTTCTGGGATTTTCAAGCAGGAATCAGGAGTCTTTAGAGTGCAGTGTTTAAATGGAGTGGTTAGATATCATTTCAAACTAAATGTGTTGGGGTATTAAATCAACAAAACAAGACATTTTGCTTTTTTAGCTGTTTGATAGACAGAAAGGTTATCAATGAATTGTCTGCAGATGAATCAATAAAGACTAAGTGGTGGTTGCAACACAGTACACTATTAACCCAGTAATAGAGTTGTAAATGTGTATAATACAGTAATTCAGGAATCAGACATTTCACTTACTGCTGCAAGATCATTTTGATATTCCGAACGTCTTGAGTCTGAAACCCTTAAAGTAATCATGTCCATTTGTGACACAGTCCTTCTAGGTTCTTTAGTTTAGTCATTTGTTTGCCTTCATGACAACAAAAAGAACACCTCTTGCTTGGCGTGGCATACTTAAAGTTGCATAATTACACAATAAAGCAGGAACATTGATGACAATTGTCTATCAGTTCTTCTCGCAGAATGTGTGTTGTATTTATGGCAGATCTGCGTTTTGACTATCGGTTCATCTTGTCCAAAAACACCAAATGACTAATATCCAACACACACTTGTGCCTCAAATAGAGGAGGATGCATGTATACACACACTCACGCTGCTATAAAATATAGATTTAAGGTGTTATCTCAGTCCTGGGGAAGTAATACCCCACATTACTGCATTACTCACCCAGGGGCCACAGATTACAGGGAGGAGACGTGCAATCCTACACACCCTACTCTGCGCTGTGGAGTGTGGCGGTTACACCTATAGGGAAGAGCTTCTGGGGAATGTAAATAGTTTTATCTGGTATTGGAAGAGATAAGACAATATGCTTTTAAAGTATTATATATGTAGTGTAAGTATAAATAGTTATTTCAGATGATTGTGGGGGCTTTTTGATACAAGAGTCGACTTCTCTCAGTGGAATACATTCTATTGTTTAAGCTGAACTATATTTCTCAGTATTAACCAATCACAGGCCTGCTAACAAGTCATCTCTGATAGCAGGGGGGTCCAGAAAACCAATGCATCGGCACCCAGTCGATTGTTAAATATGGACAATGTGATGGTACTTGTTTCGCTATATTACTGCCAGTACCCTATACTGTCCATCAGAAATAAGCTGTGTAGAATTCAGGAGAGCTAGTTTACGTTAGCTTTTAAAAGCTAACTGTATTCAGTAAAAAACACTACGTGACCGCGGTATTCTAACGATATCATAACACGTGAAAGTGGTTGGGTAAAGGGTTGGGGAGTTGAGTTGGTTTTAAGAATAATTTGATATTTACAGGTTTTCTTATCACTTAATTTCTGTTATTGTGAAATCTGTGTCTGATATTAGTGACCTCCTCGGTCAACATGAACACTTACTTTGATCCTACATGCATCCTGGAATATCACTAGTATTCAGCTCTGCATTGTTGTTGTTTACCTGAATAAGATAAACATTAACTAAAGAGATAACGTACTGCAGTGCCTGAGCAGCCGTACTGCACACACATGCTTACAAGTGTATACAATGTATGTCTGAAATACACAATAAAGCCCATTAAAGTCGAATAGAGTAACTTATAAGAGGTGTGTGTGTGTGTGTGTGTGTGTGTGTGTGTGTGTGTGTGTGTGTGTGTGTGGGTGTGTGTGGGTGTGGGTGTGTTGCAGTGCTCCAGTGTGTGTGTGTTGCAGTGCTCCTGTGTGTGTGTGTGTGTTGCAGTGCTCCTGTGTGTGTGTGTGTTGCAGTGCTCCAGTGTGTGTGTGTTGCAGTGCTCCAGTGTGTGTGTGTGTGTGTGTGTTGCAGTGCTCCAGTGTGCATGCACATTTGTAAGCCTGTCCTATCTACATGTATATTGCATTTTTGTGCCTGATTGCTGCAACTGAGTAAAACATGGAGGTAATTTTATCCTCTGCAGGAGATCTCTAATAGATTACACACACACACACACACACACACACACACACACACACACACACACACACACACACACACACACACACACACACACACACACACACACACACACACACACACACACACATACCATGAAAAAAACATGCTGTCCATTCCTTAGCTGGGAACATCCCGTATCAATGACTTTCAAATCACTTTTCTTCTCTCTGGCTCCTTTTATATCCCCCCCCCTTG